GGGGGCCCTCCCGGCGCTACCTGTGCGAGCGCCGCGGGGCCGGGCGGGGGCCGGGAGGCGCTCCCAGCATGGACTTTAACGGTGGGTTTGCGTCTTTGCCGTTCAGGAGCCTGCGGGAGGCGGCGGCGTCGGTGGGACGAGGGCCGGATCCCGCGGGCAYCGCCGGAGGAAGGGGCAGCCCGGCGGCCGGGGATCGTGCGCGGCGGGTCCACGCTTCCAGCATGCCGCTCGCAGGGACACCGCCCCGCCGCGCCGGTATGTGCCCGGCTCCATCGCTCCGCGCCCGGGAGGGGGGGATGCGCGGCCGCCACCCGCGGGGCGAGCCTGGCCGCGGGCAGGACCGGCCTTCAGCCTCCTCAGGCTCGCGGTGTGCGGACAGGCAGCACAGCCGTGCCGTGAGGGTTTTTCAGGACAGGCGGCGGTGCCGCCTTACTCCTCCCATCGTCTCGCTGCGAGGTTGCCGGCCACAGGCTCCTCCAAACTGAGCAAAGCGGAGGCGCCGCTCCCGTTGGGCACCCTGGGGAAAGGTGGTACTATGGACAGCAGTGAGAGTGATGCGGAGCGGGAAGGTAAACCAGGCTGGTTCTCTCCGAGCGGTGCTCCTGCTGTGGGGAAGGCGTGAGATTACTGTATTTGCCGGCCGAGGTGGTGTGAGGGTCTGTCAGCACCTGCTTTGCCAGGAGTGCCCTTTCCAAGCTTCCACACAAACCTTTACACAGAGCAGGTTACCTTCATCTGGCACGTTATAAAATACAGACTTAATAATGCAAGACCTGTCATGGCAAAAATTGTTCAACATTTAGAAATATTTTATGCCTTCTCATAGTTCAGTAAGTAGCAGTCCAAATTAGGTTTCTAAATATAGTAATTTAAAAAAGAAAAATGCAGGGATTTATCCTGTAGCTTTAACAAAGTGGCAGTTTTAACCTTCAAGTATATACAAAATTTGTTTTTTTTCTGAACATCGCGTTCTGCTGAGAACATTCTTGCTTTAAAATCATCTTGGCTTGTACAAGTTCCTCAAGGGGTTGGACAGTCTCACAACTCTGGTGTCCCTGAGGACAAGGTGTTTGTGTGGGCAGGGTCCTGGGGCACAGAGAGCTGGCAGTGGTGCCAGGCTGTGCGGGCACAGCTGCCTCGCCTGGCTGCCGGCCCTCCCGCTTCCAGGCGCGAAGGCGGCAACTGCTGGAAGCAGGAGCTGGCACGTTAGGAGTGATGGAACTCAAGGAAACAAATACCGGGGGAGAGCCGTGAGACAGAGTGATTTCTAAGGCTGACATCGCTCTTTGTTGCAATTCTGGGCAGCCTTAGTACACTTGGAGCAGCTGGTTTTTAACTCCTCACTTTGTCCTCTTACTCCTCARTTTGTGCTTATCACTGGTAACATAGTTGTGATTTTAAAACCTGRGGCTGTGTTTTCCTGTGCCTTCCTRTGTGAGATATGGAAAAACAGCTTTTCTGGTGCATTCCTAATTCCGATTCCCCTTTTTRTAATGGGCTTCTGGAGATTAAAGAWCAGAATGGGGTTGTGTGCTGCTTTTATTGTGCTCTTCTCTGGTTGATCTTGGGCAGATCTTGACYGCCTCCTTCCTCCTGACTTTCATTTGTGTTAATTCAGTGGAGMCTTTGCCTTCCTGAGGGCATCACAAAGCCAGGCCGTGTCCCTCATTCATACCTTCTTCTCTGCAGCTCCATATGTTCRTAGTTGAATCTTGTGACAGCCACTACAATAAAGCCCGACCCTGTCAGCCCGAGACACYGATCCGCTGCTTTATCTGCTGCTGCTGCTCCTCAGTTCCTGCTGGCAGCATCCCCAGGCTGGGCAGCAGCCAGCAATAGCTGCAGGAGGGGCTTTTCTTGCTCGTAAAGATTTGTGCATCCCTTTTCATTGTCTGCAGCTCTGTCTCTGCCTGGCACCTGTGGAGGATGGCGATGCACTTTTACAAACAAGGCTCAATCCTGAGCCTTAGTCTGAGTGTAAGTGGTGTAATGCTTCAATGTGCTCCTGGAGAGGRCTGTTAATAGGTAGGCTGTGGCTCCACAATTGAAAAGTTGGGATGGAAGTTTTGTGGCATATGTAGGAAAATTCCTGTTTCCTCTCTAGTTCACTGCAGTGTCAGAGCACTGTAATAAACCAAGAGGCTGCTTTGTCTGGGCCCAGTGCTGTACCTTAGAGTAGCCTAACCTCGGTGTGGGACTTGGCCAGTGTCTCTGACTCCTTTGGTGGTGTGTTTTCCCCTGCTGTGGGAAATGTTTGTGGGGATGGTCTTCAGACCATGGATTTGCAGCTAGTACAGATGGCAGGGGCTGATAMTTACAGGAACTGTGGGCTTTGCTCAAAGATGTGTTGAACCTGCATCCTTTCATGTTGTGCAGGGCAAGGAAACAGCTGTACATCTGTGTCAAAAACTTTATATCCGTTTTTGACACTTTCTTTCTGTTCACTCACCAGTTTTGAGCATTATTTTGTATTTGGTTTCTTGGAAGATTTTGGATCTCCTCTATCACTATTAGCTTTCCCTTCCAAAGGCATTCCTCTGTAATTTCTGTAGCCGGGTTCCTTAAGTCTTGGCTAAACTTCCTGCAGATGGAGTTTCTGAGAAGCTCTGCATCTTCTTTGTGTCCTTTTTTCTACAGCCTCACTCCAAGGCCCTAACTGCTAAGGCAATCCCTTGGTTCACTGTGACGCCACAGAAAACAGGCTTCCATCAACTGTAGGCATCCTTCTCCTGTTTGTATGGGAGTAAATAAGTTAATGTTCTCTCTTGTCCATGCTCTGGCAGAGTCTGTACTGGTACATATTTGCTTGCTTATATTCTGAGACATTGGGGAAAAAAAATCCATCCATCATGGAAAAATCAAGCAGAATGAATCCATTGTAAGTATTTCTGTCCAGATTTGGGCTAACAGCAGCCTCTGGACAGCAGCCTCTGGACAAGCAGCAGCTTGGACAAGCAGCTAAGGTAAAAGGTGAGTAGAACCTGTGAGAAGTTTTTAGCTCCTGTCCTCTCAGGCTGCTCCCTGAGCTGTGTGTGTGCAGCTCTGGTGAATAAACTGCTGCACTGGAGGGAGGATTTCAGGACAGGCTGACTGGGTACAGTTTTACTTTCATGAAATTAGACAGCTACCAAGCACACAGTGTTCTTTGCTTTTAACAAGACTTCTTTTTCCTGCATGAACTATAACATTGTGGCTGCTGAGGGCTGTACCTATTGGTATTGCTGTTCTCTGAACTACTGGTATTTTCATTTTCTTTTGGTACTTCATCTTTGCTTGCTATTTCCCAAAGCTTGGGKAAGATTGATAGAACAGTGCAGAAAGCACTTGTTTTTGTTCCTGGCTTCTGTGGTTGTGTGTCTTGGGGAGGGGGAAGAATGATTCTTGATTATTGTGGGGCAGTTTTRCCTTGTTTTCTTTTCTTTTTAAAGTCAGTACTGGTTTTAGATTTCCGAAGTTTGTCAGCATAAAAACTCACATCAACACAGCTGTACTGTTTAATAGCAAAAGCACCCCACTCACACTGTGCATGTAAATCATAAAGTGAAGTAAGAAGAAACATTTTCTTCTCTCGTTTTTCCCACTGATTTGAGGATTTTTGTGTTCCTTTGCTGCATTGCTAAAGTGCTTGAGAGATGAAATTTGACATGGAAATTGCCTCCATTAAGTAACTCAGTGTTCTGAGAAGGAGTTTGTAGGCAGGTGGGGTTCAGTCTCTTCTCTCAGGTAACAAGCAATAGATCCAGAGGAAATGACCTCAARTTGTGCCAGGAGAGGTTTAGGTTGGATATTAGMRAAGWTTCTTCAYTGAAAGGATGGTCAGGATTGGAACAGGCTGCCYGGGGAAGKGGTGGAAGAACCATCTCTGCAGGTATTTAAAAGATGTGTAAATGTGGCCCYTAGGGAYAAGTTTTAGTTGTGGGCAYGGGAGTGTTGGGATAAASGACTTGATCTGAAGGGTYTTTTCCAACCCAACCAATTCTATGGTTCTGTGATCAGCTGTGCTCTTACTGAAAAGCCTTTGAAAGTAAACTGGAGGTTGCCTGATTTTGAAAAGCAAATGGGCTATTTCCCCATTCAGTAACAAACTGGCTTAGAAGCCYGGAAAAGCTTTATCAATTCTGGCCATGGAGAGGAAAAACCCAAGCCTTTGAAATTCCAGCACGTACCTCGAGACAGATAACCAGGAGACTTTCACTTCCACGCTAATCCTGCACAGCAGTTGTTTGCAGTTGGTGCATCCAGCCCTTTCCAATCTGCAGCTCTTATCTCTTGTTGGCACTAAGCGACAGGACAGGGAGGGGATGGCCCTGAGAGAAATGAGATCTCCATTTTTGCATTTCATGTCCTGAGTTGTTTTGGGATATTTGGTTATCAGTAATTGCCTGAGGTAGCAGAATCTTTGATATTGTGCTTGCCTTAAAGCAACTGAAGCTTTTTAAAACTTCATTTTCCTGTGATTAGAAAGAGTTGTTATAATTAACGCTGTGCAGTGCATCTCCTCTGCAGGATTTTCAGSAAGCTGGATGTTAAGGAAGGGCAGMACTGAAAGCCTGGTGAATTGGGCWGCTYTGGGAGCCTTTGCCTGGGGCTGCTGTGCATGGGAGCCTGAGTCCTGCAGCGATGGAGGGGATGCTGTGCACTGAGTGAATGATTCATCCCTCTGCCATTTATGTGYCGCTGCTCTGCTCAGCACTGCACARTATCCAAAGGCTAAAGCCATGTGGGAAAGGATGTTCCGGGTTTGCTCTCCACTCTTATATGGAGGAGTTGAATATTTCGTGTGGTTGAGAGGTACAGATGCCTGAGTGCTCTTTGCTTACCTCTGCTGGTAGGTCAGCTGGCTCACCTGCCCAAAYTMYGATTAAATATCTTTKTTCCAGAGTTCATTGTTTTCATGCTAATGGCAGCGCTGGGATTATCTGACTGTTCTCCCCATGTCCTTGGATGATCAAGGTCTGGGTCTCAGCAGAAGCTAAGAGAGGGAGAAGGGAAAATGGAAGAGAGCTTTTGAGGTTAGGCAAAAGGTGGGGCACATTACCCTTCCTGTCTCCTCACTGCAATCATCCTTCCGTGGACTTGCAGTCGGAGGAGGTTGGCATCCTGCAGCAGCTCAGGAGCTGCTTGCCCAAGCWGTGGCCCTGCTCTGTGCCCAGGATTAGGTGCTGTGTATAAATKGTTGCAGCCTGTCATTCAATCTAATTTATTAAGTGCTGTATCATCCTTTTACCTTTGTYAAAGTCAAGCTCTGTGTGGGAGAAAAGGCAAGCAGACTTGTGCAAGGCCAGCACTACAGATTCATCCCCTTGGTAATAACGTGCACCTTTGACACCCTGGCAAGTGCTAAACTCTGTTCCTGGGTTCCCTTTGCAGRGTCCCAGACGTGAAACTGTGCTCTCCTGGGGACAAGGGGACAACCTGTTAGAGGCAGACGTGGTTCTGGTAAGTGGCACTCTGAGCTTCTGCTGTGGATACCCAGGGGGAAACTGAAAGCCTCTCTGCTGGAGGAGGAGTCATGTTTGAACCTAAAAGTTTGGCTCTGKCACAGCAGGAATTACTTGCTGCCTTCAGCTGGGTGAAGCTGAGCATTTTGAAAAGCTGTTTTGAAAAGGATGACTTATTTTTAATCCGGTGACTGCTGTAACAGAAAGTGTTACAGAAAGCAGTTTCATACAGCATAATATTGAACTTCAAGATTTTTTCTGAGGTTCTTGTGGATGGAAAACATTTAAATGGCAGTAGGAACTTACTTGCTTATGATGGCTTGTTATGTTTTGCATAACAGCAAAACGCTTGCCTGTTTTCATCATATGATGATATATTGCAAAGGGCAGTGAAACCCTTAATTTTTTTATCTCACATTTACCCTTTTGTGATTATTTTTATTGATTGTTCTAATGCTTGAAAAAAACTTATTTGCTTGAAAAATGTCAGTTATGTCATTAATGCTTTTTTCCTCTATTTTATATTGTCTAATAGTGAATTGCAGGCATCCTTTCACCATTGTTTTGTTTCCTTCAGTACTTAGAAATGAACTTACCTTGGCAGGAAACACTTTGCCAGGCTGGYAAAGAGACTGCTTAGCCCTCACATGCCAGGTGAGTTCAGCTCCTGCTTCCTCAATATTTTCTGCCTTCTTGTATTATCACGATAATTAACATAATAGGTGAAATAACACCTGTACTTAACCCTGAGAACTTCTAATTCCAATATGCAATTGATGGTTTTCAGGACTTTTCTTAAAGTAGTACACAGTGTTTGTTATGCTGAAGTTAAATGAAGCATTTAAAAATATTTTGACTGTACCTCCGGTAAAGTTGAGCTCAGCTWGGAGCCTGTATTTTTCAGATGGATAAATCAGCATTTCACTTASTGTAAAATCTGTCCCCAAAAAGAGAAGATGTGTTCAGGTTTGTGATGGGGCTGCTTTAGCTCYTGGTTGAGAGTGAGCAGAGCAGGCTGAGCTCGCTGACCTCTGGCTCCAGCCAAGCCCAGCAGCTTTGTCCTGTGAGGAACTGCACTGCAGAGCTCTTGGTCTGAGCCCCAAACCATCCATGCAGTGGTGTCTGAGGCACAACTGGCCACAGAGCAGAGCTTGGCCACTGAGAGGAACATRCCTATCGCTCAGTTTTGCCTTGTGCAGTTACTGGATGGAAAATTGTGCTTTAAGTAAAGTGAGCTGGTTTAAGTTGTTGGGTTTCTTCCCTCTCAGGTGTGAGCATTGTTAGGAAAGGTGCAGATGTTAAAATCCCTGTCAGAACTTAACACTCTGGAGTTGAGTTAGGCAGAGAGGATTTAAACAGCACTTGATCATGTGTGTGCAGCCATGGGCTGTGAGGAAAACAAGGAAGCAGCCAGCAGGTTGAGGGCAGCTTCATTTGCAATCATTTCTGTGCCAACAATTATTAACTCCAGTAGACTGGGCAAACTGTAAACTCACTGCAGTGACTCGAAAGTACTGAGCTCATAAAGAATGAAATGAGCAACAGCCAGGAATTTAAAGCAGGGTCGGTAACTKTGCTTTTAAGCTCAACTGAATTTGAACTGTTGAGTTTTATTGTGTGCCTTGCTGTCTGCAAACTTCAGAGCCCACCCTGTCCTCTGTGCAGGGCAGTTGCACAAACATTTGACTTCGCCCAAATGAAAAGGCAGAGGTGGTGAGTTCTGCAGAAGAAGATGCTGACCTTAGGGAAGTTCTCCCTACCTGCTTTAGGAGATGTTTATCCTCCCTCTACTCGCATTCCATCCTTTCCACTGGACACTAACTCATCTGGTGTCCCCTAAAAGAAATCTGYAGTTGCACGAGGGAAACATTAAAGCAATGATCAAATACTAACCAAAGCTGGCTTCTGTTTATCAGACCTCCATTTAAAAGCTATCAAAAAAAAAAAAGGACAACTATGGCTCCAAACTTGGATAAAAACTCCAAATCTGAATAGTCTATTTTGAGGAAAATGTCAGGGATAAACTCTGGTAAAACTACACTGAAGCTGTGTATTGCTTTGGCTGGATTAAGACTTCAGCTTTAAGGTATCAGCAGTGCTGAGTGGTACCTGCTGTTAGTGATTCTTTACCATGTTATTGACTTAAAACTACATTATTTGTCCAGAAGAGCAAGTGGAAGTGATTTGTATTAATGTTTTATTAATGGTAAATATTGAAATTAGACATTCACAAGATATTACTATTAAAGCTTTGAATTATTCAGCTGTCTGAATTGCTTCCAGGCATCTTCTTGGCCTCTGGTGTGTAGGCATGTGAAGTCTGATCAGTGCATGTGAAGGATAGACATGGGTATGAACTTCCATAGGAGTAAGTGCAATGAAGGGGATCTTGCTGTTTACTCATCTAATGAGGAGATGTTAATCCAGTCTTTTACTCATTTACTGACATGTTGTTAGAATAAAAATCTGRTAGCTCGGCTCTCCTTTGTGTTGGGTAAACAGCAAGTGGAGGTCAGCCCTTGGCAGTAGGGTTTGTGTTACAGGCCTGTGAACTGCAGTTCCTGCTCCAAAGCATCAGGCACGTGCTGTAGCAGGTCAGTGTGCACAAAAGAGACTGCCTGAACTCCGCTGAAGTGGTTTAGAAACATTTCTCTCCAACGCTGAAGTGTCCTGGTACAAAGGTAAAGATGTGAAAATGTATGGACTTCGTAGTTTTGGAAGCCCTTTAGGACTGACTTCCTGCCAGGGACACCAGCTGCCCCTTCAGTGTGCTGCCCTTCAGCCCTACAAACAGGTAGCAATGGTTTTTGTGAACCAGCCGAGAGAGGAGGGAGAGGAGCTTGTCCCAGGAATCTGGTTCTCCTGACTCAGCTGCCAGACCGGGGAAGTCCCGTCCCACCTATGCAGCACCATTTACCTGCAAATGGCATTGACTTCCTCAGCAAATGTTTGATCAGGTTACTGGATCRGAGCCCCTGTTTCCTCCAGAGTGTAAAGGAAATAAGTAAGGCTTAACATCTTTGCCATGGTTGTGTTTTCAAAGGCTATTTACAAAAAATCTTTAACTTTGGCTGACCTTAGCACAACGTCATTGGGGGAAGCTGTAGGGAACAGTTGGTTTCTGTGCTGCGCAGTCTTTATTTTGGCTGGCAGTCTGTTAACTGATAAGTGGGTAAGTGCATGCCAAGCAAAGTCAGGCATATCGTGAGATTCTGCTTTGCCTGCGGAGAGAAAGTAGCCCCAAAAACAGCTTTGTAGGCCAGTAAACAAAGATCCATGTTCCATCCAAATACCAGAATTTGGAGTTGACCAACTCTGGATCTTGAGGAGTTGAACAGGACCCTGTCAGGTGTTTGTTTGTCACTCTCCCTTCTCTGGATGTAGAGTTATCCTGCTCTAGTGAGACTGGTGCTCTGGCTTTGTTGGAACTGCCTTGATCACAGCAGGCTGCTGCTGCTTTCCCTRCCCTCTCCAGGGAAAAAACAAAAACAGCTCTTGTTCCTTGTGAATACCTTCTGGTGGCTGCCCTGCTCAAGCCTCCTTGAGCAACAGCAGAATGACAGTGGGAATTAGCGTCATCGTGCCCAAAGAGCGTGTGACAGCCATGACACAGGACTCTGGTTATGGCGGTTGCGTGGTGCATCTGTGGGATGGTTTTGGTGTTTATTTCCAGCAGCAGCAGTCCCTGGAGCTAAACCGTATTTGTTTGCAGTTTCAGGAAAAGAGCAATRCACTGTTAACTTGGAAGAAACAGACTATTTTTTTCCTCAGACTTTTACGTTCCTGGATGGCTTACATCCTGTACTGGGAATTGCATTCAAAGGCARCATGAATTCAGGTCAAACTCTGCCTACTTGTAGTAGATGGATGTTACCGATAAAAACATTTTACGCACTGGGCAGAGATTTATTTAAGCCGTTTCTACAAGCGCCTGTAGTGAATTTAGGTTTCCTTTGAGCTCACTGACAATGGTAAACTATTTATTGCCTTTATATGAAACACTGTTTTGACAGATTTCCTCAGAAGAAGCACAAAAAGAGATGTTCTGTTCTTTGAAAATAACAGGAGCCACTAGCAATAAGCAGCAAACCTACATCGAACAAGGGAACCACTTCCAGGTTATCAAAACATGCTGTTGAACTGAATTTTGCAGCTGCATTTTCCAATGTACCATGGGATGCATCAAATCCAAGGCTGCCTTCCAAGGTTCCGGTGCTGTCCAGGATGAGAGGATCACGGGAGGTGGCGAAGGGTGCACGGGGGAGAAGTCGTCGCTGCTGGCGGTGCAGGTGGAGGAGAAGGGCCCGTCGAGCGCCATCGTGCTGGACTACGCGCACCGGCTGTCGCGGGAGATCCTGGAGCAGGCGGTCAAACAGTGGGCRGTGACCGAGAGCAAGTACAGTGACATCCCCTTCATTGAGAGCGACGTGCCCTGAGCCCTCAGCCTGTTCTGTCTGTGAGCGCTCTGTGCGTGGTACCAGCGCCCATAAAGCACCTCAGCTGCCCTTTGAGCGTCTCTGCATGGGGGTGTTGGCAGGGAGAGCCCGAGAAAATTTGCCTTTGAACGTAGATTGCTAATGAACTAACTGGATCCACAGTAGAACCTATTCATCAAGTGTCATTTGTTGTCAGCCATATGTTGAGTATACTGTCTTTGTATATGTTGGATCTGACCAGAAATTAGTGTTAAAAAGATGAGAAGACTGTGGCTGCCCTACACCTGTATAAGCACTGCCACAAAGGACAAAACATGGATTATTTGTGTGTTCTGCATAAAAGATCAGTGGGCTGTTTGTAGGTGAGAGGAACTCTCTGTGCTTGGTGAATTTGTCTGCATTTTGCTGAAGTGAAACCAAGGTCTGCATGTAGCAAAGGTAGCTGCTGTCATCAATTTTACTTTGGATTCTGTGACCTAACTAAATCTGTAATAACACAAAATGATGAAGGTGATGAGAAGMGCTTTGTAAACCCTAGCAGTATTCAGGGAACCATATGGATGATGATACTATTCACCTTCCATTGATGTGAATCAGTGAGAAACATGACAGTGTTGATAAGCAGTGCATTATCATTAACAGATGCTTCCATAAATGCATGAAAGCTTGTATCTAAAACCCTGCAGTAAGACAGGTTAATGACATCTGGTAGCTGTGTTCAGACCAAAGCTGGCTGCGTGTTTTGGTTTGGGTTTTTTTTATTTTGTTTGGGGTTTCTTTCTGTGTTAGGGTGCTGGTTTGGGAGGACTTGGTTTTGTTGTTTTACTGTAACCCAGRGAAGTGTGCAAAAACTACTGATGGTAACTAGTGAAATGAACCTTCAAAGATGTGACAGTGCTTTAGGATGATTTGTTTCATGGGAACTGTGGCTGCATTACACTGGAAGTCTTCTCTGAAGTACTACCCTTGAGCCAGGACATCTTCCTTCAGCTTCCATAGGCTGCTGCTTCCCGGTTGGAAAACCTGTTMATGGCACTGCCAGGTGGAGCTATGGGAGCACCAGCCCAGAGCAGTGCTTGGAATGCAGAGTTAGGGACTGAGCCTTGGGCCCAGAGCTCCAGAGCTGCATTCCTCTGGCTTGCATCCACACTGCTCCCTGTTTGCCCAGGGCTCGCAGCCTGCCTCGCTGCACTCCCAGCTGGCATTCCACACATCAGGACACGGATGAATTACTCCTTTTCATCCTAAAGGTACAATGTTGCTGACGTTTTATACAAAGTGAAGGCCTTGTAACAGCTTGGCTTATACCACCTGTTTGTTCCTCTTTCTGTGATGACCAGTTTAAAAGAAATCATTCTTTTTCCTAGAACAAAGTGCTTTCCATTTTATGTTTTCATTTTATAGAGAAATGCTTTCCATACTGGCAAAAGCTGCTACTATTTTTAAAAGGTACATGTAGTTCTAGTAAATGATACAAAGCATGATTTTTCAAGCAAAGGGAAGCAAGGCAGAAAGAGGACCATAAGAATTGCTATTTTTAGCTTGTTCTCAGACATAAGACAGTCTATGAGCTGTTTTACCGATGTTGTGACAGAAACTTAGATATTTGAAATTCACCTATATGGGGACTTCGTATAGGTGAATTCATATGGCTTTTTCAGGAATAAAGGATGAAAAATGCTTCTGTGTGACACAGCTCAAGGCTGCCATTAAATCCCAGCGACCAGACCGGATTCCCAGTGACCTGCTATTAAGGCTATTCTCAGGCTTTTGCTGGAAAAGRGAACAAAATCAGCTTATGCTGTAAYGTCRTCCCCTTTGAAGTAATGTAGTCATCTTCAAAGCCATTTGCAAAGTGGGACTAAGGCTTTATGGTTCACTTAAATTCTCCTGCTAGCAATGACATCCCTTCAAGTTCTACAGCATATAAAACATTAGATCATACTCTGTTTGCTCTAAAATACCCCATATATTAGTGTGAGATAGAAAGCAAAGCCAAAACACTGATCAGGTCAGTACATATCAATTGGATATTGCCTAAACACAGTATTAAAAAAGATTCCTATTCTTAATCTAGGTAAAATAAAGATCTATTACAAAAAAAAAAAAAAAAAAAAAAAAAAAAAAAAAAAGGGAAAAAGGGCCAACCTTTCTAACATGAGTCTGGACTCAAGAATGTTAACTCTGCTAACCACAGTAATGAAATAAAAAACCAAAGCTCCATAGCTATTGTTGGCCAGGTGATGAAGAGCAGGTAGAAAACCACACTCACTTCCAGAGCACCTTCAGGTGGATCTGCCCTGGCCCTTGTACAGACCCTGGGGCTGCACGGGGAGTGGAGTATTGCAGTGCATCCCATTGCCACGTCTCAAATGCTTCCTCTGGATGTAGCCTTAGCATCTGACACTCTTCAGGAATATCAGATGCACTTTTGAAAGCAGCTTCCCTGTTGGCAGGCTGCCACTGCACGGCCCATCAGCAGGCAGAGCTCTAAAACAGCCTGTAGTTCCATCCCAGCRCCCGTTGTATAAGCACTGGGAATTTGCCCAGAGGAGGAAGCTGCCCAGGCACATTTGACCGTGCCCCAAGGACTGCTCCGTGTGGGATGGCTGCCCTGCCTGCYCCAGAGCTGCCCACAGTGGGACTCACCTGCAGCCACACCTCATCGATCCTCACTGGTGCCTGAAGATTCCAGCAGCTCCAGAATGGCTCCAAGTGCAATTCCAGCTGCTTTATGATGCTTTCTGTGACATTGGCACTTCAGGGAAGGCAGGCAAATGGAAAGCAAACAGTGAGATGGCTTCTCACCAGGAAAATCATCTCTTTTACAGGATGCTGTCCTTATAAATAATGCACTTACCCTTWATAGAAAATCTGTTCGGTACTACAGCATGGTGAGAGATTGAGGGAGATCTCTTCCCAGAGCTCTGCTGTACAGTTAATAGGCAAAATACTAATACATAGTGAAAATAAAGACTTCTTTACCTAAATAAATTTAGATTATGCTAAGCTGTGCTGGTTTCATAGTTACTGACAGTGGGTTTCAGCTAAGTTGCCATTGATTCTTTGGCTTGATTTTGTGTAATAAAARCACTCCAGTTTGGGACTGGCATACTCTGCAAAACTGTTTACTTCTATTTAGGAGTTAAAAATACATTCGCTTTATATTTTCTCCAGGAAACAAGAWTAATCTGAGTGGAAATGATGTGACTGACTTGATATTCTAATAATGGTTCAAAATACATTAACTGCAGCACAACTTTGTAAAGTTGAGGTTTCTGGAGTAAGGCACATCAGTATTCCCAAATAAAACACACTACAGTATATTTTTACAATATTTTTTTGTGGAAAATATTTTCTTGTGGACCAAATAAAATTCAACTTACCATCTGCTTGTCTGCCTTTTATTTGAAAAAAATGCACASACTGGACAGGATCTCATTACTGTGAGCTTAGGATAATTCCTGTTCCCGTAAATTTTGGAAGCAACTGAACATGCAAGTCAAAGTTTATTAATTCAGAAGTTTGTTCTTTGTAAAATCATGAAAGTCATTTACAGTCAGAGGAGGCATGATCCCTACTCCTTGGGAATTACTGTGTTTTTCATTAAATATAGTTGGCTGAAGAGAGCTCCTTTTATACAAAGATAATGGAATTACTCAATCTTTAAAAATAAATTAAAAATAGTCATTGTTTATGAATGTAAAACATACAAATTTTTAGAAAAATACAGGGGGCCATTTGCACTTCTTACAGAACTAGCCTGAGGTAAAAAGTCAAGTGTTACTTTCAGATTTACCCTAAAATTTTTATTAGTATTAATAAAATCTCAATTACTTTTGGAACTAAACTCAAGGACAGTCCCATAACAAGAATGTCCATGGTAACATGAACTCACAGCAGGAATTTTAATGATTTTATCTTAGAAGATTCTAGTGACAAAGCAAGGTGCCATTTTTCCTTGATATAGTTTCCTTGATAGTTCACCTTGATGCTTGAATTTCCTGGTGTTTTCAGGTAACAGCTCCTGGAAAGGAAGGAGCCTTGAGCCATTGCAGACCATTGCTGCTGGTAACARAAACTGCCCAATGCTGAAAATTCCATAGTGGTTCTGCTGTGGCTCTGACTTTCTAGTTTCCCTGGTGCTGGTTACTGACTGTGGCATTTGAACAGAACTTTTCTTCCTTTAGTCTTCAGAGAAGCTCAAATTTGTATTTGCAACCTGCCTGTAAGTGTAGAAACAAGTAGGAAGAAATGCTGATACATGATCTGATGAAGCATAAAAAAGAAGGCGTAATGTTGAGGAAAGATTAGTAGCTCTGTGTTGCATACACAATAGAAAAAAATCATTTCCCTCCCACAAATACTTGTATCAAGGGGTTCTGGTGATAYCATGTAACTCCATGGATTATTAGTATCAAACCCAGCCACCTTGCATGCACAGGAAATGTGCTGCTTGGTGTTCACAGCAAGCTTGGAGGCACTTGTTTCTTCACAACTGTAAGAACAAGAAAAAGCAGCAATTTTTTTAAATAATGAAAAACTAATTATGCAGTTGAATCAGGCWTAATGACATTTTAAAAAATGGGCTGTACAAGCAAAGAGAAATGTGCTCTAGGCTCTGGCAACATTATCACATTTGAAACAATGTTTACATCACACAGCAAGGCTGAAAAATGGCCTTAAATCAACAGAACAATTTCTTGTTTTCAGATTAATAATACATCAGTCTGAGCTTTTATTTAAAATGTATTTAACACCATGGATTCTGTCTTGCATTTTCCTTTGTAGCTCTGACTGTGTTAAAGGTTTAACTATATTTTATTTTCCTTGTATTCAGATGAATCTGAGACACAAACCCAATTTACCAGATCAGTGACAGAGCCAAGAACATAAAAGGTCTCTTGACTTTTTGCTTATTAGGTCACCCCTTAACTGTACTCTCTTCCCCAAGGGCTCCTCCCAAACTACTGATGCAAAAAAAACCCCAAAAAATTAAATGTTAATCATTGTGTAAAGCAGTAAAAATAACAATTTGCCTTGAAGTGATTTTTGCCATTATCAACCAGATACAATTATTTTCTCATTACAAAGAATGTTCCTGAATGCAAAAAAAAAAAAAAAAAAAAAAAAAAAAAAAAAAAAAAAAAAAAAAAGCCTTGTGAATCCCAGGCTAGCTAAGAGAGTCTTGTCAAAATTGATCACACTACTATTAATTTTTGCATCACAGAACAGCAGATAGGTTTGATCTTTACAACTTAAGATCGTTGTTTCCCAATGGTTTAAAACAGTTGTCCACAAATTCATCRCTGACTTCTTCTAGAGCAGCTGGTTTCCATTTGGGGGACTGGTCTTTGTCAATCAGCACTGTCAGATGGAACAGAAAAACACCAAAGGTACTTGTAAACTTCCTCTGATTAAAATGACTTAAGATTGCATCAAGACAGGTCATTACAGTGATTACACGTGGGAGAAAAATCAGTGTGCTCTGGAGAAGGCAGAGTTTTTGTAACAATTATTTCTACTCTAATAAAAACTCTGGAGTTGTGACCTGTGCAGAGATGTATCTGGGAGCTGCCTGATGATACARGGAACAGTGGATTCCTTCAGAAGCAGCCCAAGCTTTGAAGGGACTGACCTGAAATTGGTGGTTTAGTTAGACCTGCTACTCCGGCCTGACTTACACTTCTTCATGGGAACCTGGGAACAGCACATTATGATGCTACTTTTGGACAAGGCTTTCACACTTCTGTGCAAGATCTGACTCTTGGGAGAGTACAGGAGATGACTCAGTGGTGTTAAATGCCTAAAGCTCATTTAAACACATCATATAAACTGATAATGAAATAACTCACCAGGAAGAATAAAGCAAAGTGTCTTTGTGGGCACCAAGAATATTTGTAAATACTGACAGATACTGCAAGCCTATGTAGATTTAACTGTGACACCCTTAATCTTAGAATCTAGACTTTATACTGTATCTTGGGATATAAATCACTGAAGATAAAAACCAACCCTGAATGAATCACTGATGTAAAAGTATGACAAGAAAATACCAATTCCCAAAACCCATTCCCTGTATCACAGGAATGTTGAAGCAAGAACAGCTGTGCTAGCAAATAGTAAAACTAAAGGGAGTTTATGTTTGTGTTAAAAATGACCAGTATGAATGGAATTCCAGAGCATCCTTCCAAGCACCTTTCAGACTTCAGGAAACCCATAAAGGTGCTATTCAAAATGTGCATTTTTTTTTTTTTTTTTGGTAAGAACTGTGCCTCTCTAGGATGTGCTGACTGCCCAACATCCCTCACAACACACATTCCCTTCAATTGAGTGATATCAACAACTGATTTGGAGATGCAACTGTGGCCTGGGGGAACMTCCTGCCCAGCACAGCCCACAGCATATAAGAGAGGATGGGCAGGAAGAGGGAGCACCTTTTAAATTCCTCTTCTGAGAACAGCCTTTAGTTGTTTTTTGGATGGTTCTGAAGGCAGCTAAACAGATGACACTCACAGAGACTGGATATTTCAAAGAGTAACAGCTGTTTTGGGGTAAGTTGTCATGTCTTTCTAAGCTGACTTTGCTTTYATTGAGTAAATTAGAAATATCCAAAATGAGGAATGTCTAAGGGAGCGGTATTTCATGTTCAGTGAAAAAAATATCTGGCTAAAGACTGTGCCTTCTCAATAGATAGAYATTATGGCCTGTCTACAACTTGTAGTAAAAAATGTGACTTGAAAATTTCTCTTTTCTGTCTTTAACCAATGCTTGAGAGTTCCATTCAAAGGACAGTTGCATTAATTAATGTTTCTGTAGCTGAAGACATAYAGGCATCAAAACTTTTTAGCTTACATCCCTAAGGTGACAGGCAAATCAGAGCCCTGCATTCATTTACTTGCAAATACAGAACTAAGGACTCCTTAGAAACAAATAAACACTAATTGTAAAAAGTAACCCATTATATGGATAGAAGCTGCAATTCCACAGAAAACAGAATCCATGAGAACAATTMTTTTAAAGAAATGTCCTATGAAAAGTGACTTTACTATGTTGTGCAACTGGGTAATTACTGAAAAGCTGTAATCCTCCGAGTTATTTCTAAACATGGTGAAACCACTGATTGGCTTGGGTCAAAAGATGCAATTGTCCCAAATCAAMTATGTTTATTCCATTGCAGTAGTACTTATTTACCAACTTTGTTCAATTTTAGTAGAAGTTCACAGTCTAGACAAAACAGTCTAAACTGTTATCCATGAAAGCCAACACTGACTAGAGATGCTTTAAATTAAAGAGGAAAAAATGTCCATGTGTATGTTACTACAGCTTCACCTCTGCCATGCTGTAGTAACTGCTGCCAGTTCTCCTCTCCAGGGCACTACTGTCTAATCAAGTTTATCTTTCTGTTTGGATCTCTGGCCAGTTCTACTCTGATGGATATGCTCATGGAATGCTCATGATGGTCTCCCCAATGAAGTCTTTAATATTGTATGAATCAAAATATTTGTTTTTTATTAATATCATGGAATTATTTCCTTTATGTACTGACTTCTGTATATTTTTGTTTCTCCAGCTTGAGATCAATCATCACAAGAACAGAATAAAAATTCTGAAGACAGTCCCAGGAAATTCATTATGATAAACAGACACTATATTAAGGGTTTGTTCTTGTGCTTCACCTTTTTAATAAAAATCCCAAACCCCTCTGTTCAGTAGCAGTGACTTTGCCAGACTTCAGTGAGTGCTCTGTTGCTGAGCTTCCTTCAGCACAGCCAAAACTCTGCTATTTCCAAGCCCCTGACATTCAATTTGCTGCCATAAAATCTCTCAACTCATGCAGGGCCCTAGGGTGTCCAGGGTACAGCTCACATCTGCCAGCACTGCAGGGGAGGTGGCAGGAGCTGCACAGAAATATCATCTTTGCAGGATCAGCAAGATGTACAAGACCTTTACAATTCCACTTCAAGTGCACATTCCTGCACAAAGAGTTAGGAGGATAATTTAACAGATATTTGTCCCTGAGATTTGCTGCTGTTATTGCATCCTACTTGGATGTGTTTGAGCACTGACTCCAAAAATGACCACTTTTCTTCAGCAGTAAGATTTGAWGAACAATTCTTGGAAACTATCCAGACCATGCATTTCTTAGTTTACATATTATTCTATTAATCAAGGTGAAAAATGGATAGCTCATGTGTTTCAAGTCCACATTTACCATTTCATGGGAAAATGTTGATGAAATATAATCCATGTGTTTTATGYTTTAAGGGTTTTGGCTTTTCTTTAACAGCTTCAAGCACAAGAATCATAAACAGGAAGACTTTGCCGCAGCAGATTTTAAGGTCAAAAGAAAACTGGCTAAGAGAAAAATGGAATTCTGACCTCAGGTCAAAGCAGGTTTAAAAAGCTTCTAAACTACTTCCCTAGCATGCCTTTTAAAATTATGGTTTGAAGCAGATGAAAGCTCTTTATTAAAACCTGACCTGTGACAATTTGCTGCTGAAAAACCTTAAGCTAAGATCTGATTGGTGTATCTCAACTTTTTTGTCGGTGGTAGATCTTTTTGTGATAGAGAGGGTCAGGAGCTGGCTCTTAAGGCTAATRCTTAACACTTTTATCACTTTTATTCATAATGGCTGATCCTATGAAGTACTTAATAATCTCATTTCCTATTAAAAAGGATGCTCAAAGTTATGCACTGATGGATAATGTTTTTAATGAAATTAGATCCAACTACAAAAGTGATCCTGAGTCAACTTATACACTCTTCTGAAACAGGAGAAACAGTGCTAAGACTGAAAATCTGAGAACGAGATCYATACAGTAAGCAGAGAACAAAACTGCTTCAAGAAGGAATTTTTATTATGATTATGAGCAATCCCCTCAGTGCAGTTGGATCTTTGGTGGCTTTGGGTTTTTCCTTCATCTGATACAAACTTTTGCTACATCATCCTGCATAAAAGAGAGGTTTCCCAGCTGTTCTTGCAGCTTCTCTCTTTACAAGCAGTTTGTGTATTTCCTGGCCATACTGACAAGGGATTTGCTTTTGTACTGTACTGCAGTCCCAGATGGTTTCATGACCTTGTGCCTTACAAGGAGAAATTCAGTTTGGTGTTCCTCTGACTCTCAGACTTGGAGTTTGTCACTTCCTGAATAACTACACTTCAGCAGTTTATATGCTGATTTAGAATATACCCCTGCAATAGTATTTTTAAGATATCCTTGTCCCCATTACCAMCATAATGAAAACCACTCCTCAACATGTGGAAAATTCTTCAAAKGAGTGTCTGCTAATAAGTGCTAAAGACTAATTAATTAAAATCAGAAACTTTCCCTATGCTCTATGAATAAATTGTGCATCTCTCACCCCAGGCTACATTTAATACAGCACTACTAATAGCAGACACTCAAACTAATATCCATTCCTCAAGTGGATTTTGAACTGCTTTGTAAAGACAGATAAAAAAATTAGGAGGAGGTGATAATACATACTTGAGTGTGTAACACTGTGAATTAAAAGTCCAGCCTAAAAGTTGGAGCCTTGCACTRTAAGCTCCTTGGGAAAAGAAATGCCTGTGCTTTATTTCATCTTGTGATGAACAGGACATCATAAATTTTTGCTACAGCTTCTAACAGATGTGACTTTGAGTTTGACAAACTGCAYAGTGAATCAGCAGTAGGACCAAGGACAGACTTGAAGTCTGTCCCCTGGATGAACTTGCTGAGCCACTGCTCTATTTTTACCACTACCTCTCTTGACCAATGAATTATTTAACAGCACATAATTGTCATTATAATAATCATTATATATTACATATATAGTTTTTTAGTAGTTAAGACACTTCTAATTCAGAGATGTTCTGGACATGGTGGAAAGTAAGASTCTGAACCTGGACACAAGTGAGATGTGCAGCTTCTCACTGCTGTCAGTATTAAATACGAAATGGTGAAACCAGGTGGATTAATGATGTCAGGGAACTGAGACTGCATGATAGAAACAACATGGCTCTTGTGCTTTGGAACAAATAATGAATTTTGGCCACACAGGAGTCCTATAAGCAAAACCTTTGGAAATCTGGGAAGTGTTTTCTGGGCTGTTACTTGCAGGCACTTGTAGTGATCTCCAAAGAAGCAGCACAATAGTGAATTTGTGTATTATTAAGTCTGAGAAGTGTTTCTGGTGTRCATGCTTACCTGCTCGAACTCCTTCGTAGAAGTCATGGCCTTTCTGGAAGATTGTAAAAAAAAAGCTGTAACAAGATAGATTCTATTTATCCCATCTTTCCCTATCCCACTGCTGCTCAAAATGCAAGTTCTCAGGGTTCAGTCAAATCCCACTTGTACAGTTTTTTCCAAGTCTATTTTGTCTTTACTTATTGAAGAGCTCTGTATCTTCTTGCTGAAATGCAGCCACATCTCTTAAAATCARTCTGTTGAGCTGTAGCTGATCACTTTGCCACAGCCCAAGTTCTCTGTGTTACATCTCAGAGCTTTTTCTAAAGAGCTTCATATGATGGRGCTGAGGTATGGAGGGTCAGAAATYCTTCTGAGRAAAGCCTGTCTACAGGAGYTGGAYTGTAYTCTGCAAACTTGGAACTCTCTGCAGTTAAATGGAATTCTGTAAACATCCAGTTATTTTTTTATAAAGGCAAATGCAACACTTAAATCCCAAAGCATAGTTCATTAGCAATGGAGTCACAATCCTGTTTTTAGTCAGGCATTACAACATATCAGAATTAGACAGATTTTTGCTTCTTTTATGTATTTACTTTCACCATCACAAATAATTTAATYGGATATATAAAAACCTTATTTTAAAATGTGACAAAACTAATAATAAGGATGCCATGGGAAACCCTGTAAGGMATTTGTTCAGGTAATTCAGTTAGCAGCTCTGTTCCACTGAAAGGATCACTTTCTCATATGGTATCCAAGTACTCAGCACTTAGTACAAATAGCATTAAAATCTCTTGCTGAGATAAAATTTTTCATAGACAACACTCTTGAAAGGCAGTGATAAACAGCTATTTGCATCCTGCTGCTGGGAACTGAGGCACTGAGGACAGAGTAATTTAAATAGAAAATATGCTCMAGAACACCAGTTTTAAAATTACAATCCAAAATATGAAACTACATGTTAATGTTTTCATACTTTCTAAACCATTTTCTGCCATTCCCACCTGACCATCATTAATGTAATATCCTTTGCATTCCATATAATAACATAGGAAAAAAGTAACAGCCTCATAATCACACAAAAATGATATAGAGAATGAAAACCTATAAATTATAAGCCCTTGATGTAATCTACATAAAACTTGWAGTCTCTGACAAACTGCTCCCCCTCTGTGGCTGGAAAGGCACAAGGGACTCAGCTGTTGCTTACCATGCACGCTTGGCTCAGTCTGTATTCCATCTTGAGTACATCTTGTAAGCTCATGGAAGCTCCTTCTCTGAGCTGTCTGAGAGTCAGCTTTAAGGATGTAGGTGACATCTTATTAAGAGTCTGCGGAAGACATTAAGGTAATTTTTATTTCCTTCAATTTGGACACATTTGCGAGTCTGTCTTTTATGCATTTTAAACTTTGTGAAGTAAATGATGGCTCCTTTTTAACCTGAGCTCCCTTTGTGACACCTATTCCTCCTGCTCCCTCCCACCAAGCTGTAGCATTAAATGAACTTCCTTGCATAAACTTTGATCAACAAGATCTCTGGGATGTATGCCATCACTTGTGAAAAGCCTAGAACTCCTAAAGTCCCATCATTTATTATCAAATTACTACTAGCCAGAGAAATCAATGTAGTTTGAAAGACATTTTCAAGCAGAATCTTTTGATAAGTGAAGGTGAGTTAAAATTACTACTAGCCAGAGAAATCAATGTAGTCTGAAAGACATTTTCAAGCAGAATCTTTTGATAAGTGAAGGTATTATAAGCAATTATACTTTGTTTTTTAATATCATATGTGTAGTCTGAGTTTCTCTTAGATTTACTGACATTGTAGCTGATATTAGTATTGCTTAGCATTTAAGTTTTATTTGCTGCAATAGAGTAATAAGGTCATAATAGAGAGACTGGYAGCAAAATTCAAGTAGTTGATTTACAATCATTTGCAAAGACCAAATGACACACAAAGAAGAAAACGGAAAGAAAATATTAAAATAAATCAATCATAAATGCATATTTATTCAGGTTTCTTGTCTGGGATCAAAAGACACCTAAAGTATTTTATCCCTACGTTACTCTGCTGATAGGAAGCTTGGAGATCTTGCTTTACTTCTTTTGATGGAACCACAGGCTAAAAATATTGTGCCACAGACAGGATTTGTTTAAGGGTCACAAATGCTGTAAATCTGGCTCTCAGAAGTATCCTTTGATTAACAGCATGTCAGTGAACAGTAGGGGAAAGTGGGGAGAAAGACAAAAACCTAGTTAAGAAAATAGAACCGAGCTTTAAAGCTTCATGGGTTGTAGGGAAAAGTAGCTAAATCTTACTGTTGCTTATCTTTGTTTTCTTACTCTAAAGAAGCCTCTCCTTCCTCTGTAAACCCAAATAAAAACTCTGTATCAATCTACAATACAATGGACATTTCCTGATAATTAGCATGTTTTTACCACTATCAAAAAGCAGCAGATGGTAAGATKTGCCTCTTTACATTATTTTTATTGCAGACGTTAGGCTCCTTACTACAGACTGAAATGGCAGGTTTCCAGTCATCAGCAGCAACATTTTTTCTAGCTCCCAATTACTCTTCATCCCTCCAGACACCAGCTGATACAGCAGTGACCCATTTTGCCTAGTTAAGCTGGAAAACATGTGATTGCTATACAAGCAGGATTCTGTGGAATTGTGTCTTAAAAGCACTGGTTCTGCCTTGCTGTTACTTGCATGTAACCACTGTGTTGGAGAGAGAAGCTGGCATAGAATGAGCCAACACTGGCTCYAAGTGTCAGCAGCTCCTGAGGTCTGGTCAAGATTAAGAAATCTGCTGTACCTCTAACTACATCACTCTACGTCTCAGATGGGTGGCAGCTCTTAACTGGACCCCTTATTTCCTGTAATATGCTCTTGCTGGCCTTACCTTTCAACTGGACCTTCCCCCTTTGAGTTTCACATCCCGTCACTTAGATTAGGAAGTCTTTGCTCAGACCAGGTTAAATGGTATGCACGGTACAGCCAGATGGTTCCAGAGTTAAAATGGTAATGACAAGCTCTTTCTGGTCAAAGCAAGCATTGGAATGGGGAAGATCTGAAAGCAGCACTTAAGGCAGCTGCTAAATGCACTAGACTGCTTATCTTGGCATATCAATGAGGCTGAAGGTGGAGGAGGTACTGACATAAATCAAGCTGGAGGAAGAGGAACATGGCAGGAAAACGGGTAGGTGTAATTGCAGAAAAATGAGTCACCAGTGTAGCTATAAATACATTCTCTGTACAAAGAGGAGGGGACTGGTGCTAGGGAACAAGCCTGAAAAGGAGACAGGATAGGCTGGAGTGGGGAGCACTAAAATGCAAAGAAGTCTTCATAGAAGTATTTGACATCCATTCCAGTATCTTTCAAACCRTCTTGATTGTGACACAATGATCCCAAAAGCTCCAAGCTGAATTTGCAGCAGACTGCATACCAACAAGATATCAGAAGSTGACTGAATCAAGTGTCACTGACGCAGTGGAGTCCCTTATATGAGTAACAGTGGGAAGAGTGATTTTCTATCACTCTCCTTGCAATAAATGAAGACACCCATGACTTACTTTCTGACATAACAATGCATTTGTTCAACCAAAGGAACAATGATCCTGGATGAGCTTTGACAATGTATGAGCAGCATCTAGCCAAAGCTACACAAGAAAGCTGCCTAAGGAGGGAACATCACTTACTGGTCTGCTAACAMAGTTTCAGATGCTGCTTTGAATTCAACACTCCCAAGCTTCATTCCTGTAATCTACCTCACCCATTTGCTGCACATCTATTAAAGTTTCAGGAGCTATGGGGTGCATTCCAGCCTGATCAGTCGATCTGGACAATGTGTCTTATAATTCTGAGTCTGCAGTGTCCTGAACACTACATTGGCATTCATTCAGTAACAATGAAGGCTATTAAACTATGAAGCACCAGTGGTCAGAAGGTGCACCATCCTGCCAAAAAAAGCTCTGAGAAAGCATTATGTGAAAACCAAGTATCTGATGCTTTTCAGGTTTTGATCCCACGTTTACTTCATCCCATTAGAAATGGTACATCTGCCAATCAAATTAAGCTTTTTGGCTCATGTAAATCCTGAAAACAAAGAAACGTTATAAAGGTTTGAAAATGGAATTCAGAGTGTTAGTTCTCTAGATTTCTGCCTTTTGTTCACAGTGTGGTATAAATCATGAAGTCATTCTAAAGCAGAATTTTAACAACTTTATATTTTTCATGCAATATTTCAGTATCAGGTATGTGACAGCCCGCCAAGCAGGCATGTTTTGAAAGTAAAAAACCAGAAGTACTGTAGATCAAGCAGAACAGGATGCCTGGGATAGCATGGCTGCAGCATACTGGGATTATAGCAGAGCTACAAGTTCCATTTTATTAACACTAGAAGGTACCTGTTGATCCAAGATACAGRGTGGATACACCAAGGGGTACCTCCAAATTAGGAAATTTGTATTAAACTTTCAATTAGGACTTATGCCATAAATTTATGTCCATTTCCATACCCTAATAAATACACAGGTAAGCAAGGGGAATAAGCAGACACATTGCTGCTGCTGAATCAGTTGAGATGATATTTAKCCATTGGATATGCTGCTGTTCCTGTACCTGGACACTAAAGTGAATACTTGGTTTCACAATCTCACCTAATCCTACTGCTTAGCACAGCATGTCTGCTGTCAGAAACTTCTCTGAAACTTAAGTTTGTTCCCATTATTAAGTCTTGCATCTGMGAGAAAATGTGGGAGTTGTTTCATGTGTTTTTTCCCACAGATTCCTGCAAAGATTGAGGCAAGTTGTACTAACACAGTCTTATCTCTTGAMTAGAACAGACAGTTGTTCTGAGACTTTGGTCAACTCCAAGGACATTTATTTATGAATYACATGAAAGAAAAAAGTTGTTATGAAGTGCCATTAAAGACATAAGAGAACTGAAGAAGCAACAAAATAGCCCTTTTTTGTTCAGAAATTTAAAAAATCAGTTATGCTAAATCCTAACTTTGAAGCAGATGACCTAGTTTTAAGTTCTAAATTAAAATTATTAAACAAATATACTACCATAAACAATAAGGAAAAAAACGAAATAATTCTTGGTTGTTTTCAACATCCACTGAACCTAATCAATACGTAATACAAACAGATGAAATTTTTATTCTGGCTCATTTGACTGCTTTATCCAATGAAATTTGAATACTAGAGGAAGAAAATGAGCTTTCCCTTTTATTGAATTTTGCTTTTATAATACATATGCTAAACTTCTTGCACTGTACTAGATGTACAGGTTGGCACAAAGATAATCTTAAAACTTCCTTTCTCAAAAACTGATAGTTCCAGTGACAATGTGTTACATTTTGAATTAATTTTTTTAAAAATGTGACAGAATGCCTATGTGAATACTACCTTATAAAACTCCTGCTCATATCAAAGTCAGAGATGATGGATGTTTTATTTTATTATGGAAGCAGGTTTTCTTCTGTGAGCTGTAACTAAAGTTAAAACAACCCTTTTGTTGGAGAAATGCTTGAGTACTGTCTAGTTGTAATATTTCACTAGCTCCAAAGCAAACTTTTACAAGGCACCTGAACACAGATACTTCAAAGGAAAAGAATACACCCATTATTTATAAATTAATATAAGCTGCTTCTTCCTTTTGAGGCTGAGGTATGAATTATGTGTGTAGCATTGCTGTGCATTTTTTGAATACTGACTACATCCAATACTCAGAAATTAATTAAAAAGATCAAAAAATACTTTGTGATTATAAWTTTTTTGCTATTTACCCAAATGAGATATCTGGAATGGAAGAAAAACAACAACACTGTTTTGGCACTGTTTTATTCCAAGCCTTGGCAATAAAATGAGAAGCTATAAAGGGAACACTTGTTCCAAACAACCCCCTGGCTGTGGGGAGGGAAAAAGAAAGGGGAGTTTGTTTTTTTACTAGATTAGAGTTTTATGTAACATATGATGATGCTCAYATTGTGTGATTTTAGAGGAATAATCTTGTCTGAGTAGAACTACTGAGAATCCCTCAGGACTATGCATGAGAACATGAGGCTCTCAGTCCAATGCCCTACAGGGTGACTAAAGTCTGCCCTATGATAAGAAATCATAAAACCAGACCTAAAAATCTCTTACAAAAATAACATAGAAGGCATTACCTCTAGCTGCTTCATGGCAAAAGGAGAACCATCTTGCTTTAATTTTTTAACAATTTCTTCCATRCTATTTGCTGAAAAAATACTAAAAGAAAAAGAATTAGTTAACAAGCTGCTTCAGTCTTACCTTTGAAGGGTCAATGACACTGGAAACAGAGCATAACCAGCTGATTTGTTTTTTCTTAGCAATGACTTCCACGTTGTTCAGTTTTAAGTAACTCAGGCATCTCCTTTTCCTTTACACATCTCTAGTGCTTCAATAAACTTCACTTACAAACTCTGATATTTATCTATAAACTTCAATCACTACCATCAGTCTTAGCTGATTTTATAACATATGAAATCTTTATCTATCAGTTCCATTCTACTGGATTTGTCTCTAAACATAGTTATTGTCATTCTTCTTCCAGAGTTTTAGTTGTTTCTTATCATTCTCACTTATTTCTCCCTTCCTTTCTGATACACAGAAGTTCCACGCAATCATAGAAATGGCCTTAAACCAATGAGTGTTAGGTAACATTTCCTTTTCAACTGAACAGCTCTTCTCACACATTCCCATCCAATAGCTATAGAAAATGTTCATTTTAATGTGTCATAGGCTATGAATCTGGATGCTATGCTCAAGTATTTAATGGTACTGATGAGTGAAATATTTAATGAGCTTCAGATRAAGCTCCCAAAAGATAAAATGTTACTTAAAAATTGAGGTAATTCTCTCACCTTATCTGAGAAATACTGTTACTAGATTTAACTTCATGTTCTCTATCCACAAGAATAAAAAAAAAATTTAAATTGCTGAATACCTGTTAATCTTGTCCATATGTTCATCAAGTGCAAACTCCTTTTCTTGATCAAKTGTGCACTATTTTGAAAGCAAATACATACATTTCAGTGACTTGTGTTACAGAAATATCATATAATAAATGAATACTTAATATTCAGAAGACTGCAATTTTTCATGAATTACAGTTTTGCAGTACGTGCATATGAACTTGTCACTTTATGCTGTGAATGCTAAAGATGTTGCTTCATACTGCAGTGCTTGCTCTGAGCTACTATGTATCCATATTTGTCTGGTTGGTTATCTTGTACACAAGTAATTCTGATTATTCTTTCAAAACACTTCTGCGCAATACGCTAAGAGAGTATAGATAAATCTACTCAAAAATCTGGGATTATTTTTAAAAACGAACTTCAATTTTCTTTAAAAATATGCAGGCATTTATTTAGGATTTTTTAATGAAAAAAAAAAACCCATTTCTCTTTCTTCTCTCTTCTGTATCATTTAGCAAAATTTTATTTAGACATCCAAAGTGTATGAAAGATCCATCGGCCTTCTGTGKGAAGGCTGTCAAATGTTTCACATCTTCTGGCATTAAGGGGTTTGGGACATAAGCAGATGTTTCAGGAACAGCAGCTGAAGCTGAAAAAGGTTCCCTGGCATTTCAGCTCTGATAACTGAAAATAGTTTCCATTCAGTGTCATTTGTAAAGCAGGATACTGCAACATATAATCACTCCAATTTCATAGCRTTCTGTTTCGGAAAAATAAYCAGTACTATGATGTAAATTGGCTTSTCCCGTTAATTTTTCTAATTAATCTTATTTATGAACTTAGTAATTACAAATCAGAAATAAGAAGAGTAGACACAGCTCATTTTAAAGTTGAACAATAGGGGAATAATCCTCTGCCTGACTGAATAACAYTGAACACTGGTTTGACTCTAGAAGTTTTCTTTCTTTTGAAATAAAACTGCAATGCACATCAGAAGAGTTAAAATRGCCACTGATTGTAAAGGCAAAACCTTTTATTTTCATGCCCATTGTTACATGGGGCTAACATAAGTATTATAGATAGAGTGCAAAGAGTCTGGAAACTCAGTATTTTCAGCCATAGAAAGAGATGATCAGAAGTACAGATAAAAAAAGAATGTCTATATATATTTAACAATTTTGCTAGATTTCAGTAATTTCAGATTACCTTCTTGTGGTAAGAGTTCAATACATCTKCAATTTTTTCTTTTGAAGGAGATTTCAGTGCTATCAGGTCTTTCTCCAAGGCAGGTAGCTATTAAAAATAASATTTAATTATAAATAAGGGTTATTACTATGGTAATAGTAGGATATACAGATATAAACACCCMCTCATGCTCCCCAGCTTTTTGACAAACCTTAAAGAAGTACAAAGCAAACAACGTAAGGAGACAGAGTATATTTGTGAGTGTTGAAGCACTCAAGTTTAATGCTTTGCTCAGAATAGTATCCAGCCAGCCCACAGTGACAGTCATGGGCATTCACACARAGAAAGAAAGCAAGTCATAGTTTCTCCTTCACTCCAGTACATGTCAGTTACTGGAACATTAAGACTCTGACCTTATCAAATATACTAATTTTTACATTTCTTTCCAAGCACTGTAAGAAATTAATAGGATACCTGWTAAGGAGATTGATAAAGGACATATTAATGTGGAGTTACCTTGATTGAAAACTTTGCAGTGGTATAAATCTCTAGTTTCATACACTGTTGCCTAAATTGTACAGATTTTTAAGCAAGTTCCATTATGCTGAGCAGATCATGCCCTTCCAACAGCGGAATTRTAAAAACAGCACCATTTGCTCCTTCCTTCAAGCAAAGCTGTCACCAGCTGGCAACTGTTAGAAGGACAGCTTGAGAGTWTCTTACTGTCCTTGTTTGCAGGGCATGGCCAGCTAATATAACTGCACCTCTGCAGACACTCATGCTGGTAACAGTGTTTTGGGGTGCCAAAACCCCAAAATTGTCACTATAGCTGTAGGTTGTGCCCTGGCCAGCACTGCTGTCACCTTACCTTTTCAGATTCTACAAAATGTGTAGCGATGCCAGCTTTTAGCACATCTCTGCCTTTCAGCCGACATCCTGTTAGTGCGAGGTAATAGCCAACCTTTCCTGAGAGCCTTGGCAAGAAATACCCTCCACCTACATCAGGAAAAAGGCCTGTAATAAACAACACAAAACAAAAGTGAAGGGAGAAGATCTTCTACTAATCAYCACTTAGTAGCTATTTTTTCTTGTCTCACTTTCATCTCACTTACACAGGCACCGCACCTTGCCCAAATTTCTCCTTGACTTGGCTTGACATTTCTGGCATCAAAAYCCTTCCTAAAAGCAAACTCTTGAAYACTTTCCAAACTGCATCCTTTCCACTAGCACATCCTTTACAAACACAWACCAAGCAATAATATTTATTCTCTTTGCCAACAACTCGAGACAATTTTAGGTGCTTGAAAAATCAAGTGCGTTCTCAGCAAAGAAACAGCAGCGACACCAAGAATARTGAAATAATTTGTGCAAACTCAAACTGGACACTGCTTTTTCACTGAAATCTTTCATTATGATAAAAATATCAAACACTGATGAAGTGCCTCTTGCACAGCTTAGTTTGAACAAAGTTTGAGGCTGAGAATTCAATRATAGATCAACAGTATTGCCAGGGTCTTCCTGAAGATGAAGGCATAAGATGCTGACTTAGTAGTACATGGCTCTTTGACAGGACTGTGACTAAGCTGAAATTTWAAAAAAAAATTATTAGACYCTCCTTWTATATATATTTTTTTWA